TAGAGTGCAAACAATATATCCGTGAAACACTAATTACTAACTTGTTCAAAATAGTGCTAGTTAAACAGAAGAAAACAATAGAATTTGTCACTCCCGTACGAATTATTCGCGATTGTTATTCGTACGGTTGTTGCGGTCGAGCGAATATTTTATACTAATATTTCAAGGATATATTGTTTGCACTCTACCACTACCACTACCATTTTGTACTTGTGTTAGCATCATAAACGATACATTTAATAAGTCAAGCGATATTTAGGGGGATGATCGCATACAGAAAAAAATTTATAAGATTTCAACAAGGCGCTGTGACCGGCCAGGAGGTTTCCCTAGGCTGACTCGTGGTACACGCGCGGGTATAGCGACCCCGTAGATATCGCTAAAAGGTATGACATGCGCTCTACTTAAGCACAATTGAGTTTTCAATTTCGACAATTTTAATTTTAGCTGTTTAAATGAAAAAACGTTATATTTAACTCGCAATTCATTCTGGGATACTAGTGGATCCTCCTTTGAGCAACATTTACGTTGGCCCATTAGGAACATGCAGCAAGTTAGATAGATTAAATGCCCAATTTTTTTAAAATTTTAGACGAATTATCAGCTAAAACGGATTATAATGGCGATTAAAAGCTACGAAAGTAAACTTACAAAAAATTTAAGTAGGAATAAGTTTCCGGTCACCCATCCAGATACTAACTTCCCTCAACCGGGCTTGACTCAGTATCATGATATGGAAGCCCAAGTTTTTTCCATTGAGCCACGGTTCCAGGTGAATCAGCATAACAATGGCCGTGAAAACAATGCACCAGATAGGCTAGACTTTTTAACATTATATTTTCAACCGATTCCGTGCGTGGCAGAGATGCAAGGGATTAGCCGATATGGTCTAGGGGCCGGCTGGTCTCTCCCCTGATGCTTCGGCTAGAACATTTTCTTGCGTAATTCGTACACCCAAGGGCAGAAGGATTTAATCGCCGTCAGGTCCGAAGTCCATACGCCGCCTCAGCTCTGCGGATGTCTCGGGGGTATGGCAAAGTTGAATCGTTTTTTGTTTTTTTTTCTGTCTGTGGTTTCGAACCCCATCGTATCCAGATTAGAGTTTTTTATTTTTATAAATGCATATTATAATCAATTTGGCAGTATCTTTTTAGAAAAAGTGGCTGCAACTGCAGTTTCGTTTTTGCAGCAACTCGTTTTTTATTTGCAGCAACTCGTTTCTTATTTGTAGTGAGCTCGTCTAACATGCAGCAACTCGTTGTTTTTTGTTGTTGTTGTTGTTGTTGTTTTTTTCAGCAACTCGTTTCTTATTTGCAGTGAACTCGTCTAACATACAGCAACTCGTTTTTTATTTGCAGCAACTCGTTCCTTTTTTCTAGCAACTCGTCCAAAATGCAGCAACTCTTTTTTTCCCATCAACTGAATCTTCTAACTTGCTGCATGTAACTGGTGCCATCAAAACTCAGACGAGATGTTACCAGTACTGACCCCAGCTACATCTCAACTACATGTATTGATGGTTTTCACGGCGGCCATGTTGGAGGTACAAAAGAATTGTCAATGAATTCTTCTGTTCTATCCTCCAACATGGCAGCCGTGTCTTTTGTTATTTAATTCTCTTGGGAATGGTTGAAAACCATCAATAGGCAAACAGATCACAACTATATATTACCTGATTACCCAATAAAAGATATTTGTTCCTGCGTGATTTGTTCAATAGTCACCCAGCATTTGACTATATCATGAATCATTAATCCAACAATCACATACCTGGAACCGGGCGGAGTAGGGGAATCACTCGTGCGATCTTGATAAATATCCTTTCCTTGATAACCTCTTAAATAGGGTTTTAGCTCTAGAACGACCTCGGCTCGTATCTGGTTTGAATGCCACCAAATTGATCATACGATTGAAGAAAAGGCGTTTTCAACGTATAATTTCGAACATTTTTTCTTAGCATTTGACTTATAAATAGCAAGTCATCGAATTAGTTTTAGTTTGTTTTGGGGTTTGATCAATCTAGCTATTTCGCTGAAATAAAATTCCAAACATATCACCGGGCATCAGAACTTCTTTGTATCAAAATATCCTAAGTGTTTTCAGTGTTAGTGACCTTTCTCTCATCCAGCATTTATCGACACTCCGTATCTGACATCGCTACTCGACTGATGTCTTTCTAATGCCTGTTGACAAATACCTGAACCACGGACTCTTTAAGGAATCGCAAGACACAACCATATGCAAAAGGTTCGCGAACTTATTCAGTAAAGTACGATTATTTAATAACATAAGCTAGCCTCGTAACAACAGCAATTTGTTATGGGATAATCCCATTAACTATGTTCGCGACCTGCTTTTTTGTCTGACTTGATTTTAAACTGAACACACTTATATTACGGGTTGGATTAGGGTTATGATAGATGTGGTTCAAGATAAAATTTGCAGCCACTCGAAGGAAAATTGTATTAGCAGATTGTTAGAAAGGTCTCCGAAAAACTCAGGTAAAACTCGTGCAGGTATATACCCCCATAGGAAACCATATTCTTTGTCTTTCCCGCCTAGCCTAATTGATTCGACATTTGAATACGAATGAAACAGTTTTGGCATGTTATTTTCGAGTTTTTATTGGTGATAAAAAGTGATAAGAAAAATCGTTATCATTGTATTTCATTAAGGAAGGTTTGAAAAAACTATAAAATAATTCAAGATGATAACGGCAATTATATTAACAGATGATTCACTACCATATATATTGATTATATTTGGGGAATCTCAATTGCTGCTTTGCATTTAGTATGTATATCTTTAGAAATCTCTAAAAGACCGCTCGAGAGACAACAGTCGACCCTTTGAGCTCCGCCACTGGTGATTACCGATAACAAGTTAAAAAAAAAGTCAAACATATTGGGTGGCCGGGGGACTATTGTAAAACGCACTACATCGTAATGTTGCGAATATACAGTACCGACAAAATTATAAAGTAAGTTTTATTTCACGGATTAAAAATCAGTCTATAGAACAAGTTCTAAATAAATATTGGACTAAGAAAGYTTTTAAGCTTAAAAGCAGATGATCAATACAGAAAAAAATGTAATCTACTGATCTCTAGCCCTAAGGCTATGTTTAGACCTTTAGAGATCCTTTGTATAAAACTTTCCATTACATTGACTATTTAATCAAAAGCAAAAACACTATTAGCTAACGACAGAAATGATGTTGGTGGGGATTTTGGCCTTTTAAGCTCTTGCTAAATGCTTTTGACCACAAGAACATTTGCAACATTTGTAACGTTTGTCGCAAGTATATACATTGCGCCCGCCCAACCGTCCAAAGAAGCTGGAAATGGCGGGCGCTATCCGTCTTTGGCCTGTTGATATCAAAGTAAATTCAAAATAAATTCAAAATATCCCATTAAGTGGTTTATTGTTAGACTTTGTTTGTCAGCTAAATTTTCTGATCAACATTTTTCAATTAAGCGTAATTTCTTTGACTTCAATGACCTTTAATCTCTACGATAAATATATGTTTATCGAGCTTATCTGGTCGTTCTAGTGATCATTTTATCTTCTACTTCATTGATAATCGTCTGCAAGACTGGGCAACCTTTATCTTACAAGCCAGTTCACTACTATTACTAACTACGTTAAATAATTAAAATTGTCGGATAGTGTTATTTCTGGTATTATGGGTATTTTCTGCATGACTGCATGGACAACCTTCATTGTACAAGCCGTTTCGCTACTATTATGAACTACGTTCAAAGAACCAGCCATTAATTAAGCGTATCAAACTTCTAGTTCCTTATAAAGTGCTATTTCATCGTTGTTGTTTACCTGTCAGCACGAGCAAGATCATGAAGCCAGCTCAGTATAATGGGCATATGACTGTCTATCTCCTCCCAACTTAGAGAGTTATAGTCCTCAACATTTAATAGCATGTCAACCATCTTTCTGTTATCTTTGGTAAACAGAGATGGTATCTCGGTTCGAGCAACGTGGGAACTTCTGTGTACAGCTCAACGTATTTTACAAATAATCAGTAAGATCTTCGTAGTCGACAAAGCGAGTGTTATTTCTGGTATTATGGGTGTTTTTTCTTCAATACAAAATGATGCCATATGTTTTATCTAAACTCGTAAGATTATAATTTTAAACCCAGAAGGTTTACTTTAACGAAAACAGTCAAAAATGCATCTAGTGTAAACTCTTCTTTTGGTTTCAGGTTTTTAGCCTTACTAGATAAGTAAAATTATCTAATATCGAAAGCATAACCGGCGCTGTATAAAAGTCCACAACTTCAGCTTACTATATACCACGTGATAGAGGCGCCTCATATATTCATATGCACGGTACAGTATGCCTTAACTATGATTTAAATGGCTTTTCGCCTTGTTTTTATCGTACAAATCGTAAAATTATTGATTATACAGCGGTGTGTACGCATGAATGTGGCGGTATACTTTCCCGCCCATAATGATACCAAATCTCCGACAACCTACTACTGTTCTATCAATCTTCGTTCCACTAACGGCAGATTCCATCCATTCTAAAACTATTTTAAAACACGT